CCCGTTTCCGTTATGTAGGGATTCTATGAATATTCTGTGAATATCAGTAGTGAGAAAAATGACATATAGTAACTTCCGAATACCTAGAAGCAGTGGTAGTGCTGTTTTAGATTAGTTGTTAGAAATTCATTGCTATGTTTAGTTAGCACCTCTGATAGAATTGTATTTTGAGACTGGCAAGATGGTGAAGGGCAAACAAATTGGTAACAATCTTAGCAAAAAGCTATTAAAACTCCACATCATTTAATTTTTCATTTCTCACATTTTAAGATACCCTTATTTTGTGGAATTCAAAATTTCAGCTTTTTATTGTGCAATGCTACCCTCTAGTGATATGACACATAAAGTACATCTAGCTAACCATCTTGATACAAAAAAAAGCTACAGCATTTATTTGGAGTTCTAGCAAAATAATGTTTGAAGATCTACTTATTTTTGCTGAATTCATATGCTTACTTTGATCACATCCAGCTTCTAAAAAACAATTTTTCATCAGCACTGCATGGATTATAATTTTCAAAGAGATAATATATCACAGATATGCTGAATACATATATGCTTTAAGAGGCAGCTCAATAGCAAGATGTTCAAAGGTTCAATTTATACATTGAACACTGATAAAACAAACCTGACAAATTTTAGTTGATGCAATGCCAGATGAACTTGCTGAAATATATCAAGTTACGAACATGCCTGGAGATTGTTAATAGATGGATGGTCCCGCATAGGTAGTGTTAATTTTACTTCACATTAATGCACATATCTACAACAGATTAGAAATATGTTCGTTCTTTTTCTTTAATTATAAAAAGAGCCAAAAAAAAAAAGCAATGCCTAAATGCACTTAATAATAAGACACTTTAAAGTAAAGGCATTCACATCAGTATCTATGATTTGTGTAAGAACCACATACATAGTTAAAAATTATCACTTAGCTTGACAGGCGTAGCTAAATTCCATTTTGAATGGCGCCCTATTTAATAAACATGGAAATGGTTTTGGCTAACCATTAGAAAGCTCCAGAAATCATCCTCATCGTAGCATAAGTGACACTTCACATATCAAAGTGACACATCAACTGTTACTTGCCACGAATGAGGTTTTGACAAAAATATGCAAAATTTGCAATTCCATGTGATTATAAACATGATGTAGATATGCTTTTATTATTGTACATTTATTATTTCCTGCCCATGAACAAGCATAATGTTTAACAAGTTGAACTGCATGGGAACAACAGCTCCATTACACAAACATGTTTACAAGGCAGAATTGTTTATTTTTGTGTTGTTTCCAGTTTTTGACAAATGGCAGCAGTATATAACAAAGGCAATCTGGTCCAGTCAAGCAGTTACAAAACCTCAGCTATCAAATCTCCTCACAAGTTCCTCTTCTCAGAGGAAACAACCCCAGCTTCCCTATTTATTGAAGTCACTGAAGTCTCTCATCCCTGAGAGCTTTTCTGCACAATCTATAAAGCTTTCATGTCCTTCCTAAGATGCACAGCTCAGAAGCGGACACCAGTTGAGGTCAAATTATCATTGTATTATTTCCTTGCTTTTTCACTCTACATTTCATTCAAAAAGCCCAGGAACCGATAGGTCTTATAACTACATTTTCATCCTGACAAGCCATTTCCAATGTTAACCCGAATTGACACCCCAGGTACAAAAGTCAAAACAATGACATGCCTTTGATTTATTTTTCAGAGTAATCATTCTGTCTGCAAAAAGTCCTCAAGCCATTCTCCCAACAATCAATATCTTTTATAATGCACATTAATAAAGAATGATGTTACATTATTCCATATTTTTCATTGATTCTGCAGACATTTCTTCACTTCCAGCTGCTTGTCTGCTCATTCATCAAGGACTATGTTGAGTTATAGCAAAGGCAGGAGTGGGAAAGCAAAGAATTACAGACTTAAGTAGTTAGGATTCCAGGGAGGAAGAGGGACAAGAGAAGCAATCTACAATAGAAGATTAACGAGTGAATGCAGTTTAGAATCTGGACAGATGATGTTTGTTTTATGGATTTTATAAAGCATTCATTAGATTGAGTGGATTAAGCTCTGGGCCATGCTGAAACGCTTTGAAATAGACAACTCAAAAGACATTTGCTCATGCGACAAACAGCAACAAAAAGAGTAATCAAAGAGAAGTGGAGTTCAACAATGCTGTTGTTTATCACCAGTCGTCTCCAGTCTTTATGCAGGTGACACGATTAAAGAAATATTTGAAGACACAGAATTGGAGGGCAAATAATGTCAGGTAGATTTGCAAATGACAATGTACTTGTACCAAGCACAGAAGGATGACGTGAACTAAAAGATAAGATTGTAAAAAACTTATGACTTTGAAATGATCATGAAAATTGACAAAAAAAGCAGCTGCATATCTCAAAAATTCATATATTCATAGAAGAAAAAGAAATAGAATGTGCAAAATTCAAGAATTTAGGAAGAAACATGTTACAGGTGGAAAATTTCATGAAATAAGAATAATGGTAGCAATGAAAAAAACGTATATAGAAAAGACAAGACAGATGGTACCTAGAAAGCTGATTAAACAACTCAAAAAGTATTCACGCATGTAAACTCTCAAAAGGAAGGCATCAGCCATTTTTTCTGACAAAAACAACATACTATAGGATCGGCTGATGCCTTCCTTTTGAGAGTTTACATGCGTGAATATTTTGTTCAAAGGTGTATTTGTTGTTGGATTTGCACTTAAATCATTTTAATATCATCATCCAGATATAAAATGCTAATACATTTCTTACGTTTATTCAACCATTTTAGTTACCCGAGATGAACCTAACTGATTTGGCTACTAACAGGATCAATTAAATTAGTTATCATAGAATTATACATCACGGAAACAGACTGTTCGGTCCAACTCATCCGCACGGACCAGACATCTCAATCTGATCTGATTTGCCAGCATTTGACCCTTATCTCTCTAAACCCTTCCTATTCATATAACCATGCAGATGCCTTTTAAATGTTGTAATTGTTCCCGCCTCCACCAGTTCCTCTGGCAGCTTGTTCCATACACGTGCCACCCTCTGCGTGAAAAAGTTAGCCCTCAGATCCTTTTTAAATCTTCCCCCTGTCACCTTAAACCTATGTCCTCTAGGTTTGGACCCACACCCACCCCCACCCTCAAGGGAAAAAGACTTTGGCTACTCATTTATCCATGCCCCTCATGATTTTATGAACCCCTGTCTCTTTCTGAAGAAGGGTCTCGACCCAAAACGTCAGCTTCCCTGTTCCTCTGATGCTGCTTGGCCTGCCGTGTTCATCCAGCTCTATACCTTGTTATCTCAGATTCTCCAGCATCGGCAGTTCCTTCTATCTCATATACTATAGGATCAACTTTTTTTTTCTATTCATTTGTGGGATGTGGGCATCGTTGGCTGGCCAGCATTTCTTACCCATCCCTGGTGGTCCTTGAGAAGGTGGTAGTGAGCTGCCTTCTTGAACCGCTGCAGTCCTCCTGCTGCGGGTTGACCCACAATGCTATGAGGGAGGGAATTCCAGGAGTTTGACCCAGCAACGGTGAAGGAACAGCAATATATTTCCAAGTCAAGAGGGTGAGTGACTTGGAGGGGAACTTGGAAGTGTTGGTGTTCCCATATGTCTGATGCCCTTCTCCTTCCAGATGGAAATGGTTGTGGGTTTGGAAGGTGCTATCTGAAGATCTTTGGTGAATTTCTGCAGTGCATCTTGTAGAAAGTACACACTGCTGCTACTGAGCATCAGTGGTGGAGGGAGTGAATGCTGGGGGATGTCGTGCCAATCAAGCGGGCTGCTGTGCCCTGGATGATGTCAAGCTTCTTGAGTGCTATTGGGGCTACACTCATCCAGGCAAGTGGGGAGTATTCCATCACACTTCTGACTTGTGCCTTGCAGATGGCAGACAGGCTTTGAGGAGTCAGGAGGTGAGTTACTCACCACAGTATTCCCAGCTTCTGGCCTGCTCTTGTAGCCACTCTGTTAATGCGGTGAATCCAGTTGAGTTTCTGGTCAATGGTAAACCCCAAGGATGTTGACAGTGGGGGATTCAGTGATGGTAATACCATCGAATTTCAAGGGGTGGTGGTTAGATTGTCTCTTATTGGTGATGGTCATAGCCTGGCATTTGTATGGCGTGAATGTCACTTGCCACATGCCACATGTCAGCCCAAGCCTGGATATTGACCAAATCTTGTTGTATGTGAACATGGGCTGCTTCAGTATCTGAGGAGTCACCAATGGTGCTGAACATTGTGCAATCATCGGCGAACATCCCCACTTCCGACTTTATGACGGAGGAAAGGTCATTGATGAAGCAGCTGAAGATGGTTGGGCAAAGGGCACTACCCTGAGGAACTCCTGCAGAGATTTCCTGGAGCAGAGATGATTGACTGCCAACAACCACAACCATCTTCCTACGTGTCAGGCATGACTCCAACCATCGGACAGTTTGCCCCTGATACCCATTGATTCCAGTTTTGCTAGGGCTCCTTGATGCCACACTCGGTCGAATGCAGCATGGATATCAAGGCTGTCACTCTCACCTCATATTGAGCAACATTCATTCCCTCCACACTTAAGTCTGAGATATAGGATATGATGGGCTACTAAAGAAGCAAATATAGCATCTTAGGGTTTTGTGACTTTATCTTTGCAATGCACAGTAATCCCAGCAAGCCATAAAGTTTTGCAGTCATTCATCAAGTGGGACATCCAGAACCATTGCCACAATGACCTTCTACCTAAAATAGGTATAATTGCAGGGTTTTTTTTGGGTCAAATTATAATTATAACAGATATATAACTAATACATACAGCTATTTCAAACATTTAGGTACATTTATACACAGTTTTTTATTTATAGTCACATTCAAACTTTGACACCTAAGCAGTTCAGAAATTAAATATTTTAAAGTTTCTGGATTACAGCAAATAAAAAGGATGCTTTAACCAACCTAACATGCAAAAATAAATACGTACTCACCAAATAATGTAAGTTTAAGTATTCTACTACACTGGATAGCAAAGGAGAGATCTGAACTATCAAATATGGTTATAAGGTCGCCATCTGCAAGTAGAACAAAACAAGTTATTTAAGTATTATTGAAGACCAAATAAATGAAGCAGCACGTTCTATGCAACTAAAGCAGAAAATGCTGGACATAAATGAGTCAACAAGCATTATATTAAAAAGTGGGCCAACAGCTCAGACATACGTACAGCTTCAGAACAGAAAACAAAGCAACTTTAGCAAGATTGGAAAATAAGGAAGACAGGAGCAGAAGGAATAGATGCCCTGATTCACAGTGAGAGGAAGTTCATTATTTGAAAGTTTCTGCTAAGAGGTTTGCAGGCCAGTCAGATGATATAAAAGGATCATCTGTGAGGGTGATGAAAAGTTACACCTTGTGTGAATTGTTAGAATACTTTCTCATTTTGTTAAATTCAGAACAGATGTCCTAGTTGGGTAGGGTTTAAACTAAAATGGCAGGGAAATAGGAACCTATAGAGGGAGACAGATAACTGGGAAATGAGGACTAGAACAAAAGACAATGGGAAATTAGAAAAGTGATCGGCAAAGAATTCAAGGACTAGAATCATGAAGACCATTAAAGGATACAGAAAACAAAAATCTCAATAGGGGAAAAAAAAACAGCAATGCTTGTGGTACAATATATATGTAAGATGAAACTAGTCTAAATAGCCAATAAATATTTTGAAAGGAAGAGAAGGAAAGAATTTATGTATTGTTACGACCCTAGTAGAGATCAAGAACTTGTGAAATATTTGTATTTTAGTGATCGAGTGAAAGGATCGCTCAAGATTTCATGTTTTGAGAAGCAACATTGCTTAATTGTTTTTATAGGCAACTTATTTTAAATTACGGAAGTGATTCCCAAGTAACTTTTAAGGCGACAGTTATGCCTTACTATGCCCCTTAACTGAGCCAGTCTAATGGTATTTGCTGTTACTTATGGCATTCTTGCTTTCTCCTTTCCAAGCTGGGTAACTTCTAGTCTGACTTTCATTGTGAGGGTTACACTGAAGAGGCCCGACAATAAAAAGAACAAAATGACCCACTTGTTTGGCGACATATCCACAAGAATTCACTCCCTCCACCAATGCAGTAGTACTGTACATTATTTACAAAATCCACAGCAAAAATTCATCAAGGCTTCTACCAAACCACCTTCTAAACCCACTACCACTTGAAGGACAAGGGCAGCAGATACATGGGAACATCATACCTGCAAGTTCTTCTCCAAGCCACTCACCATCCAAACTTGGAAATATATTGCATGCTTTCATTACTGCTTGGTGAAAATCCTGGAACTCCCTGCATACATCAAATGGAAGGCAGCTAGCCACCACCTTTTTCGGGACAACTATGAATGGGCAATAAATCCTGGCTCAGCCAGCAAAGGCCACATCCCATGAATGATTTTGTTTGTAAGTTCTCCCTCTAACCAGTGCGAGGCAAAGTCTTCAACCTTGCTTAAATTCTCACAAATTTCATCTCTTCAATCTGAGGGCTCCCACCGACCTACTGTGTAGTGAATAATAAAGACAGCGCTCTCCCTCTTTCAGATACAGAACTGACTGACTACTTCTTCCTCTCTTAGTTGCTTGCAGGGTGACTTGTCTGGAACTTCAGGGAAATCTCAAGAAACCTGCAACTCCATATCAAGATGGATTTTAACCATTTTTCCTTTCCAAAGCCTATCCACATGGCAACGTAAATGACATGGACTTTGTATCCATGTAAAAATGCTACCCTTCAGGACCCCAACACCATTCTATCTTGAAATTACACAAAGTTTGAACTATAATCATTTATAAAACCTGACATTTCTAACATGTCCCTGGGCAACCTGGAATTCTGAAAGTCTACTACCCATGGTCAACACAGTTGCTCTTGCCATTACTAAAGGTGTGACTGTCTTGGATTTTCTTTCCAGTAAATCAATCCAGACCCCCTTTTGACAACCAAGCTTGTTGTCAGACAGTATCCACAGGTCACATGATCTCCATGCCACTGTTTTATGTTATATCGAAGCAACAAATCACAAAAATCTAAACAATTTCTTCATTGTAACACAAAATCTCATGTCCTCAGAACATACCAAAGTTTCCCCACAAATGAAGAACTTCTAATCAGCCAATTTTTATGTACTAAGTTCCAATAAAACAAGAGGAGAAATAAACAATTGGACAGTTTTACTGGCTTTGGTTGAGGGTGAAATGTTAGTAAAGGCAACAGAAGGCCTCTTGCTCAAGAGCATGACATCATGGGCTTATCTGAAGCAGCGTCACCTCACTCGACTGGTACCATTCTGGTGAGACCTCTGCCCAGACTTGAGGCTGCTCCCAGTCTTCTGGCTAGCAGCTTCACCCCAAGCCACATCATTTCCAGAGGTTTCCACAAGAATGACTCCACCGAACAGGACCCAGACTCCTTTCTGGAGCCCTGCTTGCCCCTGGGGATGCATACCCTGCAGCAAACACCACCACTCCTTCTATTTTCAGATATATTTTAACAATGCAGGAACAAGGCATTTAAAGTACTGTATTTCAACTTAGAGAATAAAGGTATAATATTTTAATTTATTTTTCTGCTAAGGCCAGCCTCATGGAACCTAACTCCAATTTTAACTGAAAGACTTTTCACGTAAAGTTGCAATTTTCAGTACTACAACCCCAATTTTAAGAAAGGAAATTCAGTATCTGCTCCTTTCATCCAAATCATTAATATGGATTGTAATTGTGGAAGTTCCATCATGGACCTCTGTGGCATTCCATTACTTTGGCAACCTGAAAATTTTTCATTTATCCCAATTCTCTATCATGTTAATATACTATCCCTACTACCCTAAACATGTATTCAGTACTGTAAATGTGGATCCTGCAATGTCTTTTGAAAGTCTAAATTGGAGGGGGTTTGAGCTATAGGGAGAGGCTGAATAGGTTGGGGCTATTTTCAGCGCATCAGAGGCTGAGGAGGGACATTATAGAGGTTTATAAAATCATGAGGGGCACAGACAGGGTGAATAGTCAAGGTTGTTTTCCCAGGGTACAGGAGTCCAAAACTAGAGGGCATAGGTTTAAGGTGAGAGACAAAAGATTTAAAAGGAACCTAAGGTGGAACATTTTCATGCAGAGGGTGGTGTGTGTATGGAATGAACTGCCAGAGGTGGTGGAGGCGGCTGGTACAATTACAACATTTAAAAGGCATCCAAATGGGTATATGGATAAGAAGGGTTTAGAAAGATATGGGCCATATGGTGGCAAAGAGACTAGAATAATTTAGGATATTTGGTCAGCGTGGATGAGTTAGACCAAAGGTCTGCTTCTCTTTCACACTATGACTATATCTACTGAATGTCCTTCATTCAACCCATTTATTACATCTTCAAAGACTATGAATAAATTTGTTCAATACTGGTTCCCTTCTTTAAAAGAAAAATCACATGAAGTATCCTTTATTATGATTTTCTAAATGTCTTGTAACTCCTTTTAGATAATGGATTCTAACATTTTTTTAATAATGGATGTTAGGCTAACTGACCTACTGATCCCACTTTCTGTCTCCTCTTTTCTTGAATACAAGCGTTACATTTACAGTTTGCCAATCTACTGGAAGCGTTCCAGAATTTCAAGTATATTTTAAGACCATCAGGCCATCTGATCCAAAGAACAAGTAAGTTTCTCTGGTAATAAGGTTTTAAGTTTCTCTGTCCATTTTTTAGCCTTTGATATTCTATTATTCCTCATGGAATGCATTTAGCATCTTCCCCATTGAATACCTGCCACTGCTTATCCACCATCTTACTTGTCAATCATTTTTCTTAGTCTACCTTATCTAACACTATCTTCATACCCTTGTAGTTGCTTCTAAGTGTAACAATACTGTGGCTTTAAGAGGCGTATTTCATCCTCTTTTTGTGAAGAGAGGTCGAGACAGAGGTATCATTTCGTCTACTCAGAGCCAATGAAGTAAACAGTTCATGTGGTCTTGGGTTTTTGTTTAAAAGTTGGAACAATAGAAGCAGCCTGGGTGGGGTCAACTCCACAGAACCAGGATTTTTAATTTTAGTTTCTCAATTGCAGTTGCTGGAGATGTGAAGGTGGGGTTGGAAGCCACGGTACACCTTTCCCCACTCTATATAAATATATACACGCACACACAGACACTCCATGTTTTTTTTCCCTTTTCCAAGAGTGTGTTTATAGATGTTACTCTACTGGATCAGTTACTGTTTAATAGTTAAATAATGCAACGCTTGGCACTTGCCTTTAAAATGAAAAAAAAAATAGGGTCTAGGCTATCTTCTTAATATACTTTGAGGGCGTTTCGTCTGGTCCAAAACATATGCTTCAGATCAAGTTTTTTCATCTCAAGTGCATGTCAAATTCTCCTATGTTATGATCACACCTATATTCACTAATCCGGTCTTATTACATTTTGGTAGGTTGAGCATTCTGAACCCTGGCTGGTTCCACAATATATTGTTCTAAAACACTGTTCCAAACCTATGAACCTGGCCTCCAGGCTGCTGTTGCCAATTTGAACTGGCCAAGCTGTACAATTAAATGCCAATATTTCTTGACATATTTGTCATGCCATGAAGCTAATGTCAAAGGGTTTATAAATTGTTGTTAACAGTGACTCATTTCTCTTGATATTTCTCATCTTCATTGGATGTACTTTCACATCTTGATCGTCCAAGCTACAATCATTTGTTATGACTTGACTAATCTCATCCTTTAGCAACACATCTAAAGTAACATTTAGCTTTCATAACATTTTCTTTTGCTTCATTCCTATCATTCCAAAATGTTAAATTCCCTTTAATATTCAGTTCTAGTTCTTTTTCTTATTGTCAGTTCATCTATTTTGTTACGAAAGCCTCAAACATTCAGGTAAAGAGCCTTGTCCTTTCTCTTTCATTTTATGTATTTCTAATCACCAGAATGGTTACTTCTAGGGCTCCCCTAAACTATTTAATTGAAAGGCCCCTCTAGAGTCCTAGTTATCTGATTCTTGAGGACAGTAGCTCCAGTGTAGTTCTTTCTACAGTGAAATCCTTCACAATGGCAAGCTCCCTATTCCATCAGAATTGGCACCAATACCCAACAAATTGAAATGCATTGCTCCAACATAAACCTTTGAACTGCGCAAGCAACATCTGATCTTATTTATCCAATGCCAATTTGCTTGTGGCTTAGGTAGTAATCCAGGAATTATTACCATTGTAATTCCACTTTTTTCTTAAAAAGTTTAACACCTAGCTGCTTATACCCTCTCAGCAGAACCTCTTCTACGACTCAGTTGTGCCACAGTTTCCATGTAGACCATGATAACTGGATCCTTCCCACCACACTCAAGGTCTTCTTCAACACCAATGCAATGCCCCTAGCCCTGGCACTGGACAGGCAACAGAGCCTTCAGAATGCCCTCTCTCAATTGAAGACAGCAAAATCAAGTATACTATCTCCTACTATTACATCCCTTTTAATTCCCCAACTTAAATGGCCCTTGTTACAACAATGTTATGATCAGTTTGTTCACACTCTTTGAATTGAATGCAGTCCCCATTCTTGTCCACAAAAGGCTGCAAGAACCTCACTCCTGTTGGACAAATTCAGGGACTGAGACTCTTCCTGAGCATCTGTTAGATTCTCATACTTGCCTCACTTATAGTCATACTTGTGGTCAAACTATTAACCATAGACTAAATATATTTTAGTTCTCCTTCCCTCTTCCATTAAACTTAATCTCGACTGGATCTATGCTTGCAATCCACCTGCGCAATGCTCTGTTATTGATAGATAATGAAAATCGTACAAAGCCAGCTGACTGGAAAATACATTAGTTTAAAAGGGGGCCAAAAACAAGATGATTGTGACAAATAAATCACTCACCTTCATCTTTGTACTTGATTGTGACTTCATCATTGCTCTGGAGTTTCCCACGGAAGACCCGCTGCATCATCAGTACCAGTTCATCATAGGTTATATCCTCATTGTGGATCGGAATCCGGCGAATGTCATCACCTAATTGAGCTTTAATGATGAGCTTCCCACTCAGATCCAGTTGCCCATTCATGGTCATCTCCTCTCAACCTAGAATGCACAAACCATTAACGGGTAATGCGAAGTTGTTGGGAGTAGGGTGCAAGCAAGAATTTGCAGGTTCAGACATCAAGACGTACGGCATTATTCCTGAAGTGTTAAGACAGACCAAAGCAGAGTAAGCAAAGCACTCAGTCATTACAAGTAAGTCAATGGACACTGCATGGAAGCGTCAACAGATTATAAACTAGCTACTGCGGTACTTATATTCAAAAAAGAATGACAAGATGGTTACAAATAAGGACTGACCTACAAACCTTACTTCAATCCTGCGCATAATGATTATCAAGAGTGAACCTGAGATTTATTTGTTTAATAGTTAACGATTGAACAGTAATCAACATTGGCTCAGAAGACAAAGATCCTGTCTGACCAATCTTTGACTTCTGAGGAAACGGCACAACAAAGGAAATAGTTGAAAAATATTGCTTGCAAATTGGTAATGCATTTAAATATTGAAGAGAAATGAGAGAGACACAAACATCCCATCTATGCTTGAAAGGCTACTGGAAAACCTCAAAGCTCCAGGGACTCAGGCAATGTAGGAAGAGTACCAGATTTTGCACTGGTAATGACAGCAAAACCCTCAACATTCAACAAAAAGCAAACTCTACTGAAATCGACAGTAATTTGGGACTGCCCACATGTGCAGAATAACAAAGAAATCCAGAGGCTCCTCCACATCATATGTTATTTAAGTCTTCTCAGAATGTAATCTCTAAGCCATCAAAGAATTGACAAAAGTACTTTTACACATTTGGTTACACTGTAAAAACCCTTGAAAATGTTTAATAGAAACATAGCAAAAAGGGAGATTAAGCTATACAGCACCTGAAGTTTCATTTGATTGAGGTTGATCACTCAACTCAGTATCCTGTTCTCACTTTCTTCCCATACCCTTAGATCCCTTTAACCCTAACAACTATCTTACTCCTTCTTGAAAGCAGTCAGTCTTTTGGCCTCAACTGCTTTCTGTAACAGAGAATTTCACAAGCTCACCAATCTCTAGATGAAGAAATTTCTTCTCACCTAAGTCTTAAATGGCCTACCCCTAATCCTTAGACTGTGACATCTGCTTCTGGACGTTCAGTCAATCAGCAACATTCTTTTTGAACATTCTCATGCTGTTAGAATTTTACAGGTTTCTACAAGACCCCCCCCCATTTATTCTTCTAAGCTCCACTGTATATGGTCCTTACCAATTCAGTCTCTGTTCATATGTCAGTCAGGACTCAGGAATTATCCTGATAAACCTTTGAGGCTTTCAGATAGAGACACTAAAACTGCCCACAGTATTCTAGGAGTGGTCTCATCAAGGTCCTGTAAAATTGCAGCTAGGCATCCCTTTTCCTGCACTCAAATCCTCTCGCTATGACGGCCAACATACCATTTGCCCTTTTCACTGCATGGTACAACTTCACAGTTCCTTTCAGTGACTGGTGCACAAGGACCAATGGTCACTGCCTGCCACTCAGAAAATGACCTTTTTACCCCTAATTTGTTGCCTGTCCACCAATCAATTCTCTATCCATGTCAGTACACTACCCCCCAGTTCTTTCACAATGGATTCTAGCATATTCCCCATTACTAACGTCAGACTACTTAGTCTATAATTTCCTCTTTTCTCTCTACCTCCTTTTTTTAAAATAGTGGGTTACATTAGCTACACTTCAATCCATAGGAACTGTTTCAGAGTTCATAGAATCTTGAAAGATAGCCATCAATGCATCCACTATTTCTAGGGCCACTTCCTTAAGTACTCTGGGATGCAGACTATGAGGGCCTGGAAATCTGTCGGCCTTTAACCTCAATTTCCCCAACAAATACCGATTTCCTTCTTTTCATTAGATGCTGGGTTCGTCCCTCTCACTAGACGCTGGGTTGCCCAACATGTGTGTGTCCTCCCTTGTAAAGAAAAAAAAAACAAAATATATATTTAATCAGACTGTCATCTCTTTGCTCCCCATTAAAACCTCCCCTGTTTGCAAGGGACCGACATTTATCTTTCTTATAATTTTTTTCTTCACATAATTGTAGAAGCTTTTACAATGAGTCTGTGTTGTCCCTGCATGCTTACTCATCTACTCTATTTTCCTCTTTGTCCTTCTTCACTGAAATCTCAACTGCTTCGAAACCTCAGGTTTGCTGCTTTTTTTTTGCCAGTTTACATGCTCCTTTCTTGGATCTAATACTATCCCTAATTTCCAACGTTAGCCATGGTTTGGGCACCTTTCCAGTTTTAGTTTTGTGGTAGATAGGAACAAACAATTGTCACAGTTTCTTCATGCACTCTTTAATCTTTACCAAGGCTGGGCTGCTATCTTGCCTTTGAGTAAGTTTCCCCGATTTATCATAGCCAGCTCACAACTCATGCCATCATAGTTGCCTTAGATTCAGGACCCTAGTCTCAGAAACAAGTACATCACTTCCATCTTAATGGCTACTCTTCCCCAAAGGGCCTCGCACAGCTGGACTACCAATTATCCCTTTCTCATTACACAATACCGAGTCTAGGATGGCCGGCCCTCTAGTTGGCTTCTCACTGTACTGATCCTGAAAACCATCTCGTACACTTCAGGAATTCTTCCTCCATGGCAATTCTACTGATGTAATTTGCCTAATCTGTATGCAAATTAAAGTTGCTTATAATCACGGCTGTGGGCGACATCTTATTAAAAGAAGGTAGTTGTTTTTTCTTTCCAGTGGCCGCCTTCTGGAATGGCATGGCAGCCCCCATGGTGGCCTCCTGGTATGGCAGCCCCATGGTGGCCCCCCGGCATGGCAGCCCCCTTTGGTGGCAACCCGACGTGGCAGTCTTCCAGTTGTACGTGGCAGTCTCTTGGCTTGGCATGGCCCCAGCATCGTCTCCCGGTCTCGAGGTGATTCCAGAGCAGAGCAATCTCCCAGCCTCATGAACCTCGAAATGAAGCCTGGCATGGTCTGGATCCAAGTCCAGTGTGGACTGGGTTGAAAGACCATTGTTTTTTTTCTTTTTTTTCTGCAATGGACTTCTTATTTCTTTATTTTCTAAGATCTTGTAACTGAAGTTCTACCTGGGTACCTTTAAGTAAAAGTTATGACTTATAAAATTTTCACTGTACCCACTTCTCCTATGGTTATTTAAAATAATGAAAATGTGTGGCATATTTAAATTCCTACATATGGACTTAGCTTCTAACTTAACCTGTCAATTTATTTAACCAGCTTTACAAGAGAGTGTGGCTGCATAGTGGTAATGCCACTGGACAATTAAACCAGAACTACAGACTGATGTCCAGGGGAAATGGGGGTTTGAAACCCACCATGGCAGATGAAGAAATCTGAATTCTCTAAAATTCTGAAACTAATAGCAAGCCTAACGAGGACCAAGTAACCAATGCTGAATGTCATAAAAACCACATCCAGTTGACTAATAGCCTTAGGGAAGGAAACCTCCCATCTTTAGCTTGTCTGGCCTCCATGTGTGTTGTCCCAGTCAAATTGGTGGTTCTCCTTATCCACATGGATAGAGATGAGTGAGTATTGGTCATGTCTTTTTGTAGCCTATTGATGTTCGTGTACCCTTGTTATTAATTTCCTTCCTGTGACAAGCACTACAATCGGACAAGCGGGAAGGAAATACCCTTATCCACATGGATAAGGAGAACCACCAATTCGACTGGGACAACACCAAGATCCTGGGACAAGCAAAGCAGAGACAAGCACGGGAATTCCTAGAAGCCTGGTACTCCACGAAGAAAGCCATCAACAAACACAGAGCTCAACACCATATATACTCCACTGCGAAAGAAAACCAGAAGTGAGGTAATCCAGCTCAACCAACTCCAGAGTTCAAATAACAGGCAGGAAAACACAACAGCGCTTCATCGGACACTGCACTGATGGTGTTATACAGCCAGGTACTGAAACGTCTGCAGAAAAACAACAAACCAGCTCGGCGAGCCAACCAACCACAACATGGATACAATATACATTCATCAACATCCACACAGCTTTTAAAGTACAAGAAAATTTACACTTTATTAAAACACAACTTTTAAAACATAATTCAATCCCAAATCCTTCATCAGTTTTAGCATCTTAATTAGAATGCCCCTTTAATCTTCTACATTGAAAGGAGCACAAGTGAAATTGATACAACATGTGATTCAGTAAGCACTGAATTCAGCTCTGCTATCATTTTGGAAAATATTTTAATTGACAGGATAAGGTAGAAGGATAGCATTTGTATGATACTTAGAGATGACATTGCTTCAGGACATCAGGATGCGGTTTGGATGGACATGAAGAATAGTGGGGGTCAGATGTCACTAATGGAAGTGGTTTACAGGCCTCTTAACAGTAAACACAATGTGGGACAAACTTTATAAGAAGAAATATTGGATGCTTGTGATGAGAAATAGAAAAAAATAGAAATAGAAATAGAAATAGAAATAGAAATAGAAATAGAAAAAGAAATAGAAAAAGAAATAGAAGTTTATTGTGACATGAAAAATATAGCACCTACATTAGCGACAGAAGTCATGCATAATAATAAAAAAAGGTAAAATTAAAGACAAAATTCATCACAGTTCAGTTAACGGCTCCTGGACTCAGGGAAAGCTGCATAAGGAACGCTGAAATACCCAGAACACACAGTCGAGCTAAGACCACCATGCCGGGCTGCTGGAATACTGAACTGGAATCCTCTGCCGAAGGTGGTCTGGGCCAAGATCACCACTTTTGGACAATATCACTTGCAAGGCGGCTGGACCATCTGAAAGCCAATACCAAAGAAGACCTCCACACAAGGATGAGACCTCCACGCTAGGACAAGACCTCCACGCTGCTGGAAGCCACCTCAGTGCTGGGCCGGGAGAAGCCTTTCACTAAAGCCGTTAAAAGAAGGCAAGTTGAATCTTGATAACAACTGTAATAATTCTCGCATAGACTTGGAAGAACCATCTGGACTCCATCTACCTCACCCCAAAACCACTGCAAACCCTAACAAC